CTACAGCAGATCTGCTCTGCTGGTCCTGAACAGTGATGTAATGAGCAGTTTGAATTCCTGCATTGTGTGCTGCCAGATGGTGGGAGTGCCAGGATTGTAACTAAAAGAGCCGCTCCGAGGCTGAAATCTAGCAGGTGTTGTAGCAGGAACTTGTGATCTATTTTCTTCCAAAGGTTTTAGAGGTAGATTTCACTCTGACTTTGCTGTGCAGTCAGCTACAGGTGACCTATTTGTGAAACGTGTTCCCTGCTCCGTTACTGTACGTATCTTCCCCACTTTGGCGACAGTGTGTGCATTTCCTTCCTGTTCAAAGCACGGCCAATTCCTATCCGAAAGCTCAACCTTTCATTTGGGGTCAGTCAGTCTGTGGAGGAAAAATGGGCATCACCTTTGGATTCCTATACCATCCTGCACTCTTAAATCCAGTTCCTCTGATAGCTCGTCCAGGCAGGATAAAAAGTCTTGTTGTTGGGTGTTAAGAAAGGTGGGCTGGTGGGTTTTAGGGGGAAAGGGGAACGACGACAGGCCTCCGCTTCAGAAGACGAGAAAGGAACATCAAGAAAGCATTATGGTAATGAAAAATGTGATGGACTGGACAAACAGCCGCTGTTTATCCACGCAACTCATCTCCATAAACTCAACTTCTTTTTTTTTTCTCCTTTTTTTCTCTCATTGTTACAATCCATGTACAAGCTTGTTGTGCTCGTAAAAGGTATAATACAAATACAGACAATAACATGACTCCTCTTGCCATTCCCATAGTGCAAAATTTATTGTTGGTAAGGTAGAGTGCCCAGAAAGGATCTTTTGTACCCCTTTTTTTTTAAATTATATACATATATTATTTATATATAATGTCAGAAGGCTCCTCCTTTATCCAACAGCATAGTGCTTTCGTTTCCAACAAAGGGATATTTTTCTTTGCTTAGACATCTGGTGAGGATGAGACAAACTTTTAAGCTTCCTAATCTATCTATCTTTTTTTTTTCCTTTTAAGCACTTCCAATGGTCACCATACCGGTCACCAGTCGGTAACGGGTAGAAGTGGCGTTTTGTAAAACAAAGATAAAGCAAGATAAACGATATTTCTCTAGAAAAAGTATTGTCACCTTGAATTTTAATCAAAACTAACGCACCATCTGTGGATGTGATTAACTGTCTTAGTGCATCTGATACTGTATGAAATTGGAACAAGGGTGGAACGTCTTTCTTCTAAAGTCTGCTTAAAGTTCTAGATGGAAACTCGGTGTTTGTTACAAACTTCAAAGTTCTTGGCCATTATTTTCAGTAACGTATATTAGGTTCCAAGACACTGCGATGGACTGGCGACCTGTCCAGGGTGTATCCTGCCTTCCGCCCAATGACAGCTGGGATAGGCTTCAGCACCCCACCGCGACCCAGAAGGATAAGCGGTTTAGATGATGGATGGATGGATGGTTCCAAGACAGTCTAAGTAAGTTAACTATAATGCCTACACTCTTAAAAAAGATGGTTTTTCAGGGGTTCTTTAGTAAAGACAATGGCTCTATAAAGAACCAAGAACCTTCCAAGAACCATTAGCATGCTTGAATGCTTCTCTGCATGGTGAAATGAAAATGGTTGTTTAGATTGATGGTGAATGTGCTGTAGACAGTTCTATCTAGCACCAAAAAGGGTTCTGCTGTTGTTATGATGTCAAGTTTGTAATAATAGAAGAGCCCTTTTCAGAAAGGTTCTATGTAGAACCATATACAACACATTTTTTATCAATCTGAACAACTATTTGACCAAGCAAAGAACCATTTAACCATGCAAATGGCTTTTTGAGTGTCCATGGTTCTACATAGAACCACTGTCTTTACTAAAGATCTTTTTTAAGAGTGCATGCCAAAGAATGATGGTAGATTTTCCTTCTTAGAGAGCATCAATTTTTTTATGGGGTATTTAAAATGTAGTTACTGTCTATGACTAAAAAAGAGTAATAATTCTTACCATGGGTTGACTGTGTCATTCAAGACTAATTCAATTAATTTTTTAAAATTTCTTTATAATTAAATACTTTATTTGTGAAAACAGTCATTCAGAGTTGTTTGGTGTGAAATGCTCTGTTCTAGAGAAACTTACAGAGTCAGAATTGTTCACAGTGGTGGTGATAGGAACCAGACGTCCACCTCTAAAAGCTCCCTCACAAAAAGTTATTACATTAAATGATTATAAATACACTGCCTGATGTCAGAGCTGAAGTGTAAAATTATTTGTTAAAGTCTTTCATGGTGGAGGGATACATGGAGGCTAAATAGTTCCTAAAGGAACTTATTTTTTTCAGATTTTCCACTATTTTCCCATCATCAGTGTTACACATAAAATTCAGAAGATGCGTGTAGGTTCACTTTTGGTCTTGATAGTAAATAAAATGTCTATATTTGTGTTGTTGTCATGGTGAGCCCTGGTTCCTATCAACACCACTGTAAAGAAATCTGAACCATTTCATACCAAACCACTCTGAATGACTCTGTTTACATCTCAGTGGTTAAATTATACAAAAAAGCTGAAAAAAGTATAATTTATCTATTTATGTAGTACAATGTGCTGTAAGCTTATTGTAGACAGTTTAGTGTAAGTAATAAAGAGACCTATCTTTGTCTACCGCATAAAAACAGTTTTATAAATTCTGTATTGCTCCAATAAAACAATTGAGAAGGGTGTAGAACTATCACAGTGTATCTGCTATGTAATAAAAGTGAATCTAATGTCAAAGGTATTCTTTTAAATGTTATAAAATGCAAATGCAAAGTTTTGCAGTAGGAAGCAGAAAAGAGCAATATAAGTAATGTCTTTGTACTCTGTACTGTCGTTTTACCTTTTATAATTACCACACATAACTACCTGATTTAGTTCCTCCTTAGGAAACCTAGCAACTTGTTACTCTGAAAAATTTTCAATTGTGATACGTTTTATTCTTTCAGCTGAATAGCTGGAACATGTCAGGGATTTTAGTGTAACTGAATTAGTCTTGAATGTACTTTTGCCCAAACAGTTACAGCACTTTGGAGTTTGTATCTTGCACTTACCCCTTTAAAGGAGAACTCCACCCACTTTTCAAACTTTCTGCATAATTAAATCATTAAGATGTAAACAAAGTCATTCGGAGTCGTTTAATGTAAAATGCTTCATTCTAAAGAAACTTACACTCTTAAAAAAAGATGGTTCTTAAAGGGTTCTTTAGTTAAAGCAATGTTTCTGTTTGTAATCATAAGTTTTATATAGAACCATTTTATGCTTAAATGGTTCTTTGCATGTTGAAATGGTTCTTCAGATTGGTGGAGAATGTGTTGTATATGGTTCTAAAGCACCAAAAGGGGTTCTGCTATTGTTAGGATATCAAGCTTGTAACAATAGAAGAACCTTTTTTGGTGCTATATAGAACCAACACATTCTGTCAATCTGAAGAACTATTTTTACCATGCAAAGAACCATTTAAGCATGAAATGGTTCTATATAGAACTCATAGCTAAATAGAATCATTGATTTTACTAAAGAAAAGAACCCTTGAAGAACAATCCTTTTTTAAGTGTAAATAAAATGTCTGTATTTGTGTTGTAGTCATGGTGACCCCTGGTTCCTATCACCACCACTGTAAATAAATCTGAACCATTTCACACCAACCCACTCTGAATGACGCTGTTTCCATCTCAACCACTGAATAATGCAGAAATTTGAAAAATCGGTGGAGTTCTCCTTTAATATCTAGAACTTAGAGGACTGTAAAAGAAAGCTTATGGCCCTGCAGACCAAATCGGATCAATTCATGCAATCTTGCTTGTGGTGTACTGACCTAATTGACTACAGAAAGTACCAGTGAGGGGCTCACACCCACAGCATGTCGATGGGAATCGGCTAGAATATATAGAAATACAGTATTTCATTAAAGCATTAATGGAACATAGAAGCATAAATTACACTTAAGTCCACACTTCACAATCTGCAGTCACTTCTCCTACTGAAACTAAGGACCAGTCCTGGTTCAACAATGGCTGGGACCGATGCTCAAAAGGTCAGGCTTCACGTGTGAGTCAGTGCCGTGGTCACAAGAACCGTCGTAACTCGATTGCCGGGGCAAACCCTTTTCCTGTTCTCATTTAAAAGTACTGAAAAAAGCCCTTTCTTTTCCGTCCTCTTCTTCTTCTTTTTTGTCTTTTACAAGATCACGAGTAAAAAGAAGATCAAAGTGGCCATGAAAGGGTGCCTGGACTCTTGGGAATCTCGCACTGGGGTGCTAGCTGCATTCGCAGAGGGGAGGGGAGGGGGGTCTCCCCTAGAATTTTTCAGCACTGTATGTGTCTTTTGGCATATTTTCTCTAGTTTGTTACACTCTGAGTGCAGTTTAGATCAGTTTGCATGGAAAATGGGATCTTTTGGAGTCTGAAAGAAACGCGTCATTAAGAATCGTGGAGTTATTTCGTGTTTACATACAAAGCCCTCCATAACTATTGGGACAGTGAAGTGATTTTCTGGATGGAAAAAAAAAATCTGAGCTGAAAGTACAGAATAAAAGTCACCTTTTAATCTGTTTTGTGTTTTAGCCTTTTTGTACAGTGTTCTTTTTTCTTTCCATATGTCACTCATTTCAGTTGGTGTAATTTGAATTGGTTTGATGCTTGCACGCACACTCGTGTGCAAAAGTTTGTGCACAGTCAAATGACACGTTGATTTTCTAAGTGAAAATTACTATTTATTTGCTTTAATGTATTGGGGAAAAATAAAACATACAAGATGGCCTGCCTAAAGGTTATGGCACATTTTATGTTTTATTTTATTTCAATATGTTAAGCTGAACAAATAAATAGAAATTAAGCACTAACATTTGCAGAAAAGTCGACCAGGAGTGTTCAAACTTTTTCAAAAAAGGGGCAGAAGCTGATTTGAAGTGTTTCTGAGGTTTGAATTGATGTAAAATATTATGTTCATCAAAAAAAAAAAAAAATCGATTTGTTTTATTCAAACTACTTATTTGAGCTGAATGAACCCAGTTAAACTGTGTGTTAATGTTTTAAGTTTGAACCAACAAACCACTTTTGCAGTTTATGACTGTATATTACTGAGCACACAGCTGTGATGGGAAATTCGTAATTGTAGCCCAAAACGGGGCAATTTTGACTTCACTCTCCCAATATTTATAGACGGACCAGGGTACAGTAAAACTCTTCTCAGTACTGTATTTTGCCCATTTCACAGAGCAGGATGAAAGATGTAAGGCTTAAAAATCTGGCGTATAATCTATTTTATAACTATCAAAAAAAAGGAACATAAGAACATAAAAGGTATACGTTTTGTCTCTTTTCCATTTGTTTTATCTCACTTTCCGCTCACCAGCCGGTCTTCCAGCACTCACCCTTTAAAAGCATTCATAGAAATCTCTGCCAGTCGGCCTCAGTTTATACTGCTTTACAATGAATTATTCTGTTATCTTTTGAACTACAGTGATAAACTAAAGACCTCCTTTATGTTTTGTGTAGCTCTTCCAGGACAGGAGGGAAAAGGGGGAACAGAGACACTCCGAGACGTGGCGGGAGCGCAGCGGAGCACGCTTCCAAGCCTGAACGAGTTGTGCGTTTGTCTAAGAGCAGCCGCAGCGATCTACCACCATGCCGGGAATCTTGCCGTGGATGATCTGCTGCTTGTCGTTGAAGTAGAGCATGTTTATGGGAGACATCTTGGTGGGGGTACAGCATGGGCCCGCCGAGCCTCTGGGGTTGGCGTGCTGGACCAAGTGAGTGTGCGGGTACTTCTGCATGAACATGTACTCGCACTGACCCGAGCAGTAGTTGGCTTTGTAGCGCTTGGGCGCGATGATCCAGTCCCAGCCGAACGCTTCGAAGTCCACCGTGAGCGGGTAGCGACAGCAACGGGACTCGGTGGAGTGCTCGTCGCAGTCCAGACCCAGGTTCCGCCGCGAGCGCTTGGTGGTCTCGAGAACTTTCACCTCCAGGAACGGCTGCTGGAGATCAGGGGGGGAGGAGAAGGAGAGGGGAGGAGAGAGATGGCGAGGTTAAACAGGGAGATGGGTCAAGCCTTGATGACTACAACAGTGTTACTAGGCAATCCACCCTGGATGTAGGGCTGGACACTGTGGCGATATTTATCATTATTGTGATAAATTACATCACATTATGCTTCTCTGAGCATATCGTGGGTATCGTCAGTACTAAACACTGAATGAGTGCATGTTTTATTACAAAGAGAGCATAATTAGGCCTGTTTAGCTTTTAGTGGACAGTGGCGAAACGCTGAAAGACAATCATTTTAAGGTAGTTCTCGATAGTATTTTTAAAATGTGATACTACAGTTACACTACTGTAGTGTTTAGCTTGTCCATTTTCAAAAGTGGGGTATCACTGTTCTCAGTAATATAAAAGCAGATCTGTTGCAGATACATGTATAAATTAAGTTTAAAATGATGCTAATAGTCTATAAGTTTCAAGAATTTGCTGTGAAAATTGAGATTTAGAAACCTTATTATAAAATTAATATCCAGAATGACTCATACAGTATTCAACCATATCTATAGTACATTTTTTGACAAAGAAAATTATAATTACAGTTGCATATCATCAGTTGTATTTCATAATGTACTATTTTTTGCCATGTCATAACTTCTCACTGTTCCCAAATCATTGTATAAGTTATTACTGAATGCGTAGAAATCGCTGATGGAACAAAATGAATCTCAGGGTTTTTTTTTTTTATTTTTCATTTATTCACATGATTTAAAATGCCAGTTGGCCTTTATGTTGTGTCAGTTTCATTATAAATGGAGCAACAGAAAAAAATGGCTCCAAAATGGCTTAGAATAAAATCTTGCTCCAATAACTTCCATCACAGATTAAGAATGTTTTTCCTTGTCCTATAAAATGACCATTTTGGAGGTATCAGGTTTTGTTCTGACAGTGATAAAATATTAATATGACATATGATTCCATATTTTTGAACAGTAGTGGGGATCACAGTGACAGAAACCACTTAACCAAATCTATTTGAGATTGCTTAACAAGTTGACACGGTTGATTTAGGCATGCAGTTAGTGCGTGGAGCATGAATTTCTATTGTCACCTACATTAGCTTCATATCTCCAGTGCAAAACTAAAGATGAGCCAGCGCCTTAAGCTGTACCCACTGCCAGATACGCTGAGCAGTTTTACTGATGCTACAATTTACTGAGAAGCTCACGTTAGTGATGTAATCGCTAATTAAAATGTAAGGAATCCTTTCAGGCTCTGTGAGCTGTGAGAAGTTGTCAAAATTCGAAAAAAAGCTGACATTCTACAGGCTATACTTGACCTTTGACTTCCTTTTTTTGTCCTAACCTTGACCCTGACGCACCTAGTAATTCTCAAGAGATTTTAAATCCAGTGTCTTCGCGTTTCATTGTTCTCCATAAAGCACTGATCTCGTCTTGTGGCAAAGCAGCTGGACGCAAGCAGGAGTTTACCATGGCTCTCTGGTGGGGGAAACAAACCAAGAGGCCACTGAGGTCAGATCCTGTCAGCTTGTACTCTGCTTTCTTTGTTGGATAAAGAAAAAGAGGAGAGAACCCCAAGAGGTCCAGGGGGAGTTTCATTCTTTCTCTGCTTTTTATGTTGTTTTTTGTACTCTCGCTAAAGAGTCTCTGATCTTTTTTTCTTCCTCCCTTTTAAAAACAACTTGCTGTGCAAAGGGATGGGCTGTTACTGACTTGTGGGGAAACAAACTTGCCCTTTGGAGGGCCGACAATGGACTATGGTATGTATGAGAGTACCTGTCAACAATCATGTTTTACCCACACTTCTGCTTATTTTGCCATCTTCCATTTCCTGAGAATACTATTTTGGAATAACTGATTTTATACCTTTAAAAATAGGTTCCTAAATGGTTCTTGGCTTGGATGTACAGGTCTAGAGAGAAGAACCTTTAACTGGTTCAGACCTTTACATGTTGTGGAGGTTCTTTAAACTTCAAAAAACATGCTACACACTGATCTCATTTAGAATCAGCCTTTGAAAGGTTCTTCAGGCAAACAAAAATGGTTCTTCTATAGCATCGCTCCAAAGAACCCTTTTGGGACTTTTATTTTTTAGGAGTAAGCTTTGGAAATTCTGTTTGTTTGTTGTCTAAACTGCTCTTTAGTGCTGACTGAAAAAATGTTAAAATGAAATGCGGACATGTGGAACAGCCTATAAGTAGAGTTTATGGTATTTTTCATGTTATGCATGTTATATAGCTCAGTTTAACAAAATTCACAGTTTTGTATTGTTTTCATGTCTTCATTCGTCAGTGTTTTCACCCAGCATGCATTATGCAATAACATCATGTAACCATTGGGAATCTCTGTGGTGGCAACCAACTGTCTGCTAGCCTAGCCTCTGAGCTACAAGCTAATAAACACAACCAAGCTAGCGTTAGTGTAACTCTTAGCTCACTCCTCAAAAAAAAAAAAACAACAACATTGATTCCATCTATTCAGAAGAATCTGGATGCCAAAGACATATTTTTAACCCTGTCAGACAGAGTAAAGAAGCCAAACTGAGGTAAGGTATATACTTAGCCAGACAGCTACCTTGCATTAGCTTTTAGCTTGTTGTGTTCCTCATTTAATTAGTCATTTCTGTCATTTGTGTAAACCATTCTCTCACTGAAATGATCATTTGAAGACAAATATCCATCCAGAAACAGTTGTAGTTTGTCAAAAGTCCCCCAACCTTCAAGATGTATCATCAGGGGGGGGTTTCCTAGTCTTTAAACTGGAAAATCTCACTCTAGAGGCTAACATGGCAAGTAAGGGGCCAATAATCACGTCTACAACGGATGTAGCAAAGGTTAACTAGCCTAGCCACTGAGCTATAGGCTAATAAACACAACCAAGCTAGCATGAGTGTAACTCTTTGCTCAGTCCTCGGAAAAAAACAAAAACAGAAAAATTTGATTCTATCTATATTCAGAAGAATCTGGATGCCAAAGACAAATGTTTAACCCTTTCAGACAGAGAAAAGAAGCAAAACTGAGGTAAGGTATCTAGTTACATAGCCAAATAGCTAACATGCCTTGCTAACTTTAGCTTTTAGCTTGTTATCTTTCTCATCTGACCAGCCATTTCTGTCATTTGTGTAAACCATTCTGTCCACTGAAATGATCATTTGAAGACAAATATCCGTGCAGAAGAAACTGTAGTTTGTCAAAAGTCCCCCAACCTTCAAGATGTATCATCAGGAGAAATTTCCTATGCCTTTACTGGAAAATGTCGCTCCAGAGGCTAACATGGCAAATAAGGGGCCAATAATCACGTCTACAACAGATGTATCGAAGGTTAAGCTCTTCATTTTGGCTGGAATGTCCCATTAAATCTGGATATCTGGGCTAGTTTTAATCAAGGCTAGTTTTAATCAAGGCTAGTTTTAATCATTTGAACTAGGCTGTATAATTACAGAGGAACAGAGACAGTGAACTCTCTGCTATTAAGGCTTCAGACTTATCAGTTGCTAAACTAAGACTTGGTTCTGCATATTTGAGCAAAACATTTCCATATTTTTTATGGTAAATGTTGAAACTATAAACCAAGCCCTAGGCAGCTTAAATGATTTGAAAACATTTAAAATCCTGTGTCACCAACTCATTTAACTTCAATGGCTCTTGGGTAGCAGGTCTAAGGGTCCTTACCAGCCCTTCTTCTCCAGGTCTCAGAGAGGTCACAGCTAGGTCGTTGCCACTTTCGTCAAACGCATTTATGTCAATCCCCCAGTTTGTATGTGGCTGCTTGAACCAGTTCTGCAGGACGTGCTTGAAGTCAATGCTCTGCCAGTAGCCCGATCGCGAATTGAGCTCAATCTTGAGCGAGCGGATCCGGATGTGCCGGCTGCCCTGGTCAGTGACAGGCTTGAGTCGGAGGATCTGAAGGTAAACTGTGGAGGTTTGCTGCAGGGGCCGCAGATACACCCACAGCTGGGCTTTCAGAACCTTGGTGAACATCAGCTTCGGACTGAACTTGAAAAAACAGCAACTGGGCTTTCCGTCCACTTGCACTATCGGTTCCGCTGTGGAGAGATGAAAAGGACATGGTATTTCAGTCATTTAGTAATGCCAAGGTGCAGTATATGTCTAAAGGTATCCAGACATCCCATTACTGAATTCAGCTGCAACCACTGCTGATGCAACTTGTTAAATCTCCATTGAAAAGCATTGACCAATAGAATTGGATGCTCTGGAGCTGCCATACATGAGCCTAAGGTCACCCAACGCCAACTGTCAGTTAGAAAGGTATAAAGCCCACCAGCACTGGGTTGTGGAGCAGTAGAGCTGCATTCTCTGGAGTGATTGAGCTCCATCCAATACCTCTGGGATGAGTTGGAGTGATCCAGAACCGATCATCTAACATCAGTACCTGACCTCACTAATGCTCAATCAAATCCTCACAGCAATGTTCCAACATCCAGTATAAAGCTTTCCCAGAAGTGTAGAGACTGTTACGGAAGCAAAGGAGGAAAGGAGGACAAACTTCCTATTAATACCCTTCATTTCAGAAGAAACACTGGTGCCTACAAACTTCTGTACCTTGAATGTCCCATTCTTGGGAGTAGAAGTCCATTAAAATGAAATATTTTAACATTATTACAGAAAGAATGATAAATCATTCCAACAGATTCCAAATTTATATTAAAAAAGATATACGAATATTCTCCAGCCAGCTGGGAGCCAGTCAAGTAACCAGTGTCAGTCAACTGTAGATAATCTGGTCTCCAAAGTTAGCGACAGAACTATATCTCTTCAGCACCTTGGACAGTGGCCTTCAACTTTAGGTACTTTGGCTCCACCTTGGACATTTTCAACTTCAACCTCAGCACGCAAGAAAAACGTTCAGTCACGATTACAAATTTCTTATAAAATGACAAATTATATCATCAGCAAAAGAGACCCCCTCATCCCCACCTCTCAAAGTGTGTGGTCATATTTATAACGCTGATCTGCTAATTGGGACGGCTGTTATGGCATGTGGCCAGATCATGAAGCTGTGAGCAATGCAATCAAAGCAGTGTCCTGTTTTATTGTGAGGATTTGGCCAAAGAACAAACTGACCTGTTTTGTTGTGAATAGTTGACAAAGGAGCCTCTTTTTGCAAAAGGCCGTTGAATAATATTTACCTTCTAAAACAGTGCATGGATTACCACTTTAACCTTAGTGTAGTACAGTATGATTACAGTCTTAAACTGTACCACTGCAACATTAAGAAAGAAGAATATTTGTAATTCACTTCAAAGCTTTCCTGTGTAGACGTGCAATAGTGAGTGTGAATGGAAGCTCCTAAGCTCTACTGTCCTGTAGTCATTGTAGTCAGATTTTCCAGTTTAAAGACTAGGAAACCCCCGCTGATGATACATCTTGAAGTTTGGGGGACTTTTGACAAACTACAACTGCTTTGAGGTGGATATTTGTCTTCAAGTTGATCTCCGGTGGTAGGCAATGTTGGTAGACATTGGATTTGACTAAAATCCGTGTGCGGATGCAGTACTGATATGAGAATCTGAGTTCTTTCCAGAACACTGACTTCTTAACAGAGCATTTTCTAATTTAGGTTTTTAGTTTATTTTCTTTTCTGTCAATGAGGTAATTTAAATTCATTGGCATACAAATTCAAACTTTATCAACAAAGTAAAATTACATAAACACACAGGAATTCAAGAGCTGTTCTTAAATGAGTGATCACATGACTTTCAGAGTTTCGTGTTTTTCAAACTTTTATTTAGTCTACATTTTTACGATATTATCAAATGAGCAACTTGTCAATGATCATTTATTTCCAAAATACATAGATAGATAGATAGATAGATAGAACTCATTTACATATATCCACCTATTTAGCCCACAGCAGTTTAACTCCGCCCACTCACACTGAAGTTATAAGGAGTGTTTCAGCCTGGGCTGCTTTTTGAATGAGGCACGGCCAGTCAGAACAGAGCTCATTTCCATATATCAGTCATAAAGGTGCAGTAACAAACAGCCTGTTCAATACTAAGGGATAAAGAAAGGTTGGAAAATGGTCATTTTTAAATGAATTATGACTGAAATATGTTACAAGTACATAAAATACAAGAAAAATGTAGGATATGGTAGGATAGGATATGGCTCATATCATACCATTAAAAATACAACGTTCTTGTCTTCCTGTAATCTTCCATAAAAATATCATGACTTTTGCCCTACCTCTACAACATTTTCCAGTGGGGTTGGTGCACACCCCCCCATTACTATACCACTTGCTCAGCTAGGTCAGAGACTCTCCCTGTTTCACTCTCAAATGCATCATGGTACAGAAGGAGAACGTGTCATGAGTTCAGACTCACTCTGATTTAAAATGTGAACACAATCCTGCAGTACCTTAAATGAACAGCGGGGACCTGTGAAGACCATGTGGGCTGAAGCCCCTATTTGTCCCCCAAGAGAACAAATATGAGGGGAACAGTTTTTTTTCCCCCACATTTCATAAACAATAAATATTCTAAATGTAATGCAATAAACTAACAAGCTTGTGCAGTAGATAGGAACGTGTTTGATGCTCCAAATAACAAGACAACTCTGAAGAGCAAATGGCTTGTACATACGAAACAATCTCGAGCCATGTGTGCTGTTTCCTACAGGGAAAAGTATGCCTCTTCGATTTTACATAAACTACGGGGACCTGTCAATCACGTGCAAATCTGAGGTTGCTCCGGCAACCCGCAAGGTCTTCCTGTGTCAAGAGGTCATCTGGAGACCTAGGTCCAGTTAAGAAATGGGATTAAGGGTCAGCACTGTCAGCCTTTTACATCCCTGGTGGTGCAGGGAGGGGTCAGGCTTAATAGCCAAATTGAGTTTGAAGGTCAAGGTCAGCCCTATGGCAGAGGCACAGGCAGAAGGAGGGTCAGTGAGGGCGTTCGCCCCGGGGCCCTTCCTGCTGGAGGCCCACAGAATAAATATAGATAGATAAAAATAAATTACTAACTAAATTAATAACTAAATATTTGCACAACTTAACACAAAGAAATGTGTCATTTGGAGATGATGATTGAGTAATCATGTCACACCACAGTTCTAGCACAGAGATGGTTCTCATGTACACCCAAGCACAGAAAGTTCTCACTTTAACTTTTGCTCTATTGTTTCTTCTCAGCCAACCAGCAACTCCAGCAATGACACAGTACAACAACAGCAGCAAAGCCACCATGAAGATGAACGGGAAGAAGAAGAAAACGATGTGGCAACCAAGAACAAGAAAGGTGAGAGGGAGCAGGACCGAGCAAGTGACACTGAAAATAAGAAACGAGCAAAAGGGGTAGCTATTAGGGATGCATGTTCGGACTCATGCAGACCTGCAATCAGCCAATTTATTATCCGTAATTTGGCTGATCTCAGTTTTATGAGGTGTTTAAGGTGAGGCAGGTAAGTGCTCTTGCGCTGTATTTGAACGCAGCTGCTGAACCCGAACTGAAATGTCATAACAAAATTATACACAACTCTAGGCTTGTCACAAGTATTACATAATCACCTACTGGCAGCTATTTGAGATAAACACAGATATATGAGATGATAGCAGTTATTTAAACTGACTACAGTCATTAGATTTCACAATCATATGTCACAACAAGCTGCACTGTTAGGAATAAAGATTCTGTGGAGGTACATTTTTCATTTATCAAGGTACAAACAATACAAATGTTCCTCAAAGGTTCAACAGAGGTTTGAAGTTCCAATTGTGTACCTTAAATAGGTTTATACAGGTGAAAAGTACATATTTGTATCTTTTCATAACCTAATGTTTTAAAACAGAACAATAAAATAAAAAGCCTGGAGACGAGACGGGGGGTGTGGAGTCAGTACAACTTAGAAAATGTCATTTTAATGGATTATGGTACAATTATGTTCCCTGAATAAAGGTACTGAGATGTTCCCTTGAGGGTCCCACCACAGTGACAAGAGGGGTACTGCCCCAGTGATAGTTTACTACCTTATTTCTGAGAATGTAAATGTGACTTAAATATGTTGGATTAAGGCAAATAAATGTAAATAAAAGATAAGAGTAAATTCATTAAGACACATCATAGGACTCATCATTCTGACACAGTTAATGCTGTAACATTTAGAGGGCAGCGTGTGTAACGTTTGTTTGATATTTTAGCTAATTCTAATGTTTTTAGAATGTATGCTAGCAGAACACTGTTTACATTTTCCATCCCAAAAACAAGTGTAGCTTTGCATGACACAGCACATGATTCTGTGTTGCTGTAGACATTTGTTTGAGTAAATGTAGCTGGGAAGAAAGACAGCTCATCAGTTATTTTGGCCACTTTAGGCTCGTGCAGACAAAAAAAACAAAAACAGATAACTAAATCGTTAATCACCATCATTTATTTGACAATTAATCGTAAAATATCATAATCGTGACTCGCTCACTGTGCTAAACAGCCAGTCACCTCTTACATCTATGGCATTTTGGCATATATGTAATATTAGGCAGATGCTCTTATACGCAGCGACTTGTTACAGAGGCAGGTGAATGCAGAGTCTTGCCCAAGGACTTTTATCAAGGTAGTGTGGGCAGAAGGGACTGGACACCAGCCCGCAACCTGGAGGGCAGTAGTACTATCCACTATTTGATTCATGTTGTTTAAAGAGGCCACTGATTTTTCAACCAAATTTCCCTCGCTTGGAAACTAAGCTGTAAAAACAGCCTGTTTTGAACTTTTTTGATGTCACGAGAACCAACTAATTTACATATATCCACCTATTCATCCTATAACTGTTTAGCTCCGCCCACTTGCACCAAAGTTATAAGGAGTGTTTCAGCCCAAATTCTTTTTGAATGAAGTACAATCCAGAGCAACCAATCAGAACAGAGCTTATGTACATATATCAGTCTTGAAGGAAGAGTAACAAAAACAGCCTGTTTAATTCTAAGAGATAAAGGGAGGATAGAAAATGATCATGTAAAAATAATTATAATCTATTCTAATTATACACATTGTGACTTTGGCTAATAGAAAGTACTTGACATGTGCTAACA